CACACTAGAAGACTCTGTGGGTAGAACTGCTGATGACAGGAGAATGACAGAAAGCCGCTCTGCATTTTCAGAAAGAGCCTGGTGGAATTTGTCTCTGGTCTCTGCTAACACTTAGGCACACACTTTCTTGTTTGTTGCTTGTGTCTCGGGGCCACGCTCAATGGCGCTGGGGACCAACCATGTGGTACTGATGATGGCCTCTGGGATTCCTACATGCAAAGCCCACACTCCACTTTGGTACGCAATCCCTAGGACCTCTCCAGTTATGTAAATTTATTTTTTATTAATCATTTTAAATTTGGGGGCCACACCCAGTGTTGCTCAGGGCTTACTCCTGGCTCTGAGCAGAGGACTCACTCCTGGTGGGGCTCAAGAGACCCTATGAGATGCCATGGATGAAACCCAGGTCAGCTGAGCACAAGGCCAGTACCCTACCTACTATAATATCTCTCCAGAACCTGATTTTACTGGGGAAGGGTTTGGGGCCAAACCCGGCAATGCTCAGGGATCATTACTGATGGGGTTTGAAGGACACTATGCAATGGTGATGGGTGACTGAACCAGGGTAGGTTGCATGCAAAGAAAGTACTTAAACTCCTGTACTCTCTCTGTACCGGCCCCCACACATTTTCTATAAAGCAGGAACTATTGGGGCTGGACAGATAGTACAGTGGGTAGGCTCTTACCTTACATGTAGCCAACCCAGGTTTGATCCTCAGAATCCCTTATGGCCCCATAAGTACCATCAGGAGTGATGCCTGAGCAGAGTCCAAAGTAATCCCTAAGCACTGCTAGGTGTGACCCTAATTTTTTTAAATAATAAAAGAGGGGATTACTATTCTTTTTGTGTGTGTCTCATTTTTTTAATTAATGAACTGTGATTTACAAAGTTATTCATAGTTGAGTTTTAGGCATACTGTTCTAAGTGCTCTGTGGATGTTAGGCAAGGCCCGTGCTAATCTCCCCTCCAAGTCAGAAACCCACAAACTCATCCCTGTTACAGAAGGTACTTCCCTCTTAACAGCTGTCAGGGGAAAGAGTGAGGTGCAGAAGCTGCCATCCTGTGCCAGTCAGTCAATGGGTATTTATAAAATGGGCACAGGGAGAGGCCAGTGAAACGGCTCAACAGAATGGGAGTGCATGCTTTCATGCGGAAGATCCGGGTTCCATTCTTGGCACCACACAGTCCCCCAAACATTCTGGGAATGACCTCTGAGCACCACCAGATGTGACCCAAAAGCCAAAAACGGGGGGGGGGTGGACAGCATAGGAAGTGGATGTGATGATACCTACTGCTTCAGCCAAATGCCATAGTCTAGGAACTGCTCAGCCTCTCCTGTTCAAGTGTGAAAGAAAAGTTTCACGTTAAAAAAGGGAAAGGAAATGCTGGAGCTGGAGCAGTGGTACACTGGGGAAGGTGCCTTACCCTGACAGGCCAACCCAGGTTTGATCCCCAGCACCACATGGCATCCTCTGAGCCAGGAATAAACCCTAAGCACCACTGGGTGTGTTACCGCTCAAACAAAAAAGAAAGAAAGACAGAAAATGCTGTTACGTTACACTCTGTAAATATGTCTAGGGTGTAGTTCTTTGAGCCACAGGTCAGGCTGCGAATATAACTAGAAAACTTTTACATCATTTCATGCATGAGAGGAACTGAATAAGCTAGCCAAGGGAGGTGGGAATGTGTGTATAGTGGGGGAGATTTGCCACGTTCCAGCACTGTTCAGCATCTACCAGGGCTACACTGCCTGAGGCCTCTATATGCAAGACCTGTTTTCTAGTCACCTGAGCTCTCTCTTGCACACTGTTGACCCAGGTTCAATCCCTGTAAGTATCACCAGGAGTGATCCCTGAGCTCAAAGCCAGGAGTAAGTTCTGAGTACTACCAGATATGGAAGAAAGAGATAGAGAAAGAGGGGCTGGAGCAATAGCACGGTGGGTAGGGCATTTGCCTTGCACAAGCCTGACCCAGGTTCAATTCTCAGCATCCCATATGGTCCCCTGAGAACCACCAGGAGTAATTCCTGAATGCAGAACCAGGAGTAACCCATGTGCATCGCCAGGTGTGACCCAATAAGCAAAAAAAACAAAGAGAGAAAGAAATAAAGGAAAAAAGAAAGAAAGAACAAAAATCAAAGAAAGAACAGAAAGAAGGAAGGAAGGAAAGAAAGAAAGAAAGAAAGAAAGAAAGAAAGAAAGAAAGAAAGAAAGAAAGAAAGAAAGGGAGCAGGATAGAGAGAGCAAACAGACCTGCCAGGCAATTTAGAATGGATAGGGGGTGGGAGGGATACTGGGATCCGTGGTGGTGGGAAATGGGCACTGGTGGAGGATGGGTATTTGATCATTGTATAATTGAAACATTGAAACCAAGCACAAGAATTTGTAAGTCTACAACTGTACCTCATGATGTCTCACTAATTAAAAAAAAGAATACCTGGATGCATGTTGTTTCTCTGTGACTCAGTTTCTTCCTGGTGTTCCAGGAACTACAAGTAGAGGATGAGGGGGCCTAACAGTCCATTCAAGGGTTTACTGAGCCCCTGAGAGTATTTCAGCATTTGAACCTTTAAGGATCTCCACCATCCACTGCTATTGCCTCCTACCAGCCCAAGTCAAGCCCCTGTCATATTCTTCTCAATTCATCCTATTTCTGAAGGGAATCAATTTCCCAAACAATTCCTCTATGAAATGTAATGTAAAAACATACTCATGTGTTAAGGAAACTCCCAGTGTCAGTGGAAATGTGGTGGTGGTGGTGGTGGTGGTGGTGGTGGTGGTGGTGGTAGGAGAACCCCAATTAACTGCAAGAGAAATGGCATCTGGTTCACCCTCTATGGGATATGGTTTAGACATTTCTCAAAAAAAAAGAATGGAGCTCACAAATGACCTTCTAACCCCACTCCTTGGCATCTATTCCCCACTAAACACAAAACTGTTTATTGGCAAAGGTATGTGCATACCTCTCTTCATTGCAGCACTGAGTACAGCCATCAAGATCTGGAAACAACAGGAATGTCCAATGACAGAGGAGTGGATCAAGAATTTGTGGCACAGATGCATAATGAATACTATGCAGCCCTAATAAACATGCCATCTTGTTACAAGTTCACTGTAAGGGGGATGAACTGGAAAGCATCATGTTCAGTGATCTAAGTGAGGGGGGGAAGGACAAATAACCGGATGATCTCACTCATCTGTGGTATACAGAGCAACCAAACAAGGGAACAGACAGTATTGAATGAGGACAAACCCTTGACCTTGTATTACAAAACTGAGATGACCAAGCAGTGGGGAGAACATTAACGGGGAGGAGGAAGAGTTGGGCTAGAAGTGACACAGGGTCAGTGTTGGAGGAGCCTGAACACTTTGGTGGTGGTGAAGGTGCAGAAAGTTACACATCCAAACCATCCACATCAACCCTATTGTAACCATGTCACTTAAAAAAATAGAGCTGTATAAATAATTGTTTCACCACCTGGGTGTGGCCTCAAACAAGAAAAAGTAATAAAATTAAAAATAAATAAAAATAAATAGAAAGTTCTCTATTAAAAGATTGTGTCTCACTAATAAAAAAAAGATTTATGCTAATCAAAAAGCTGGAAAGACAGTACGGGGGAGGGGAAGAAACCATTTCCCTTATATGCATCTGACCTGGGTTTGATCCCTGGCATCCATATGATCTTGCCATCCCTGCCAGGTGTGATCCCTGAGCACAGAGCCAGGAATAAGTTTTGAGCACAGTCAGCTCTGGTCCCAAAACCAAAAAAAAAAAATCAAATCAAAAGTAACACTAATAAAGCTAGGGAGATAATTCAGGAAAGAATACACACAAAGCCCCCGAGTTTGATTCCCAATATCACATGCCCCTCTCCCACCCCAGCACTGCAATATGGTCCTTGTGGCCCCACTGTGCTGTATTTCAGGCTCAACATGGAACTCCTAAGTATCACCCGGGAGTAACCCCTTTGCCCACAGCTCCTACAGCTGTCCTTGAGTATTTCTGCCCCCATAAATCAGTTCCTGCTGGTTTATGCCCTCGCTGGGGGTGGGGGGAAACACCAGGGAGCATGTCACTGGAAGATAGCAGTCAAGGTAAATGACATGATTCATCAGAAAAGGATATTTAGAGAGGTTGATTTTTCCCTTTCCCTTCCTTCAGTCTGTTGCTTCAACTCCCAAGAACTACAGCAGAGGCCATACCTAGCGGCAAAAAGCTCAAGAAGGTGCTAGAGAGATAGTACAAGTAGCAAAGACACTTTTTCCTTGGTTTTTGGGCCACACTCTACAATGCTCAGCCAATTACTCCTGGCTCTGCACTCAAGAATGACTCCTGGGGCTGGAGCGATAGCACAGCGGGTAGGACATTTGCCTTGCACGCGACCGACCAGGGTTCGATTCCCAGCATCCTATATGGTCCCCTGAGCACCGACAGGAGTAATTCCTGATGCAGAGCCAGGAGTAACCCCTGAGCATCGCTGGGTGTGACCCAAAAAAGAAAAAAAAAGAATGACTCCTGACAGTGCTTGGGGGACCCTATGAGATGACAGGGATTGAACTCAGGTCTGCTCAATGCAAGGCAATCATGCTACCTACTGTACTATTGCTCCAACCCCTTTAAGGCACTTTTCTTGCACGCAGGTGATCTCGATTCAATCCTCAGCATCCCTGTGAACAACCAGAAGTGATCAGAGATCCTATGGCTGGGTGTGACCCAAAAACAACACCCTCAATGAAAGAGCCCTGGGAAGAGGTCAATAATTGTAACTTTCCTCAAGCAGAGGGAGCTGCTTCCAAAGCATAGCTTTGCCGGTTCCTTGGTAACCTTGATCCTGAACGCATCTCTATCAGAGGCTTCCGCATGGAAGATTAATGAAAGAAAAACAAAAGACAAGCAACACAGAAAGCTACTCAAAGGACAGCTTTGTGTCCGGAAAAAGGGGAAAACAGATTCTACTTTAATAGCTCAAGTAGTCACCCAGGATACATTGGCAAAGAACCGGTAAGACCTGGTCCGCTCGGAACAGGGTGCTGGGTGGGGGTGCTCAGTGTGCCCACACCAACTGACTGCTTCGGGGGCGAATCCAGCCTGCAGTCTGTGGCTTTCTCCCTCCTTGGGAGCTTCAATCTTGGTTCATTCTGGCGGCAAATGTTTCTTAAGAAGCTCAGCGCTTCCGCTGGCCCCCAAACGGCTCCTGGCAGCTGAACTGTAACTCGCTGTCTGCCAAGCAGGACGCGCTCCCGTCCTCAATTGCTTAGTCCTAGAGCTCTGGGGACAGCTTGGTGCCGGCCCTCTGTCTGCTAGGGGTGCTTTGGTTCCCGCTTCACCTGGTGGCTACAAGAAACCCGGTACAGGTACCTGAGACAGTTCCCCTTGAAATGCTCGGCAGGGTGCTGGTCCCAGCTGCGGTGCAAACACAGCCCCTTGGGAGGTCCGAAGTCCCCTCTGCGCTCGGGCTTCTCCACCACCGTCAACGATCCTGGAAGAAGGGAAACATGTGGCGGAGAAGAGTCTGGATATGTGCCACCCTGCCGCCCGTGGAGGAGTCCTTCTTGCTGTTCGTCTTCGTCGCGCGTCTGCCGGTGGTGTGCGTGGTCGACTGGCCCACGGCGCTTGAGGACCGCCGCAGAGCCCACATGCCGCTGCTGTTGTTGTTGGCGTTGCTCCGTTTGCTGGCAGGCTTCTCCATCTCCCACTCCTCGGCTCCCGCCAGCTCCCGCAGATTCTGGGACACGCTGGGCCGCAGGTAGTGACAGGCTCGGTGACCGCTGTGGTCGCGGCGCGAGGGGTCGGCCCCCAGCGCGCCCACCAGCACCTTGATGACCATGTCATGGCCTTGCATGGCTGCCAAATGGAGGGGTGTCAGGCCGCCGCTCCCCGGGGCGCTCACGTCCAGCGACAGTCCGTGGCGCCGGGCAAAGTCATGCACCAGGATGAGCTCCTCGTGGCGCCCGTGCTTCGCCAGCCAGTGCAGCAAGGTGTAGCCCGAGATCGGGTCAGCCCAGAGCAGCAGCCCCGGATCGGTTTCCAGCACCTCTTGCAGCTCTTCATAGCGGCCCTCGGCAGCCGCTAGTAACCACGCGTGCTCGCGCGGCTCCAGGCACAACCCGCTGCCGCCCGCGGCGCCCAGTCCTCCCGGGTACGGATCCTCCGCGCGCCCCTCCTGCAGTCCCAGCTGCTCGCGTAGTGCTCCTCGCCGGCGCCCGGAGCCCGAGGCCGACAGCGTCAGCGTGCCCAGGAAGGAGGACTCCCTGGAAGAGGAGGCGGCGGCCACGCTGCTCCGGTACCTGCCCAGGCTCGCTGAGTCCACTCTCAAGGGGCGGGGCTGCGAGGTTCTCCGTAGGCTCATCGAGGCAGTCACCGAGGACCTGGGTGCTGGGTTCGCGTCCCGAGGGGGCTCGGCCATGGTCCCGCCGAAGCGATTCTCGTGTCTGCCGTCTGCTGACCTTCCCGGGCCCTACCAGGAGAGGAACTGGCGCTGGCGTTAGGGAAGGAAGCGACTTGAGCAATTGGGCTCGGAGGGAGGGAGCCAAGGAGAAGGGGGGGTGGGAAAGGGCTGGAACCCGCAGGGAGGGCCTTCCCCACCAGCGAGGGAGGGTAGGGGGAGGCGTGAAGGGGCGGGAGCGCTGGCCAGATCCCTGGGGCGAGCCCTTCTTCCGCACCCCGGGGAACGGTCGCTACCCCAGCTCCCACGGGTCACAGGAGGCCCCACCCCAAATGGCCAGGTGAGCCGGGACAGCCCCGCCTCCCGTCGGGCACGGGCCACCCCGGGGCAGCCACGGGCCGCGGAGCAACTCAGCTGCCCCCGGCTGCGGCGGGTTTTGCAGCATCCCAGCAGCTCGAGGGCGCCCCCACTCGGGAGGGCTGGCCAAGCCCCCAGGCCAAGCTTTCCCGTAGGGCTACCCTTGAAGGGCGCCCGCTCCCCGCCCCCTTCCTTCACCCTTCACTCTTATCGCCTCCCGAGTCTCCCTGCACTTTGACCACAGCTGCCTTTGTCCCGCGTCCCGCAGGCACTGAGGCGGCCGGCTGATCCACGTGACTCGTGCACGCCTGCCCACCCTTTGTGTGGCCTTGACTGTCCTCGCGGCGCTCCGTGCTGTCCGGGTTTGCAGCGGAAAATCTCCAGACCCGGGTCCGAGCGGATGCCCTGGAGCGGAACCGAGAAGAGAGGTGTCTCCCCCGCCTCCCGGATTGCTGGAGGTCTACTGCCACCTCCGCCCTCCGCCCTGCTCTAGGCTCTTTAACCTTTCCAGATTGGCGTGAAAGAGCCGGCACAGGTGAATCGTGAGTCACCGGGAACGCCCTGCCTCAGTCCATTAACAGTCATTTCCGTCCCTTGCCCTCGCCCAGAGGGACCCGCGAATTCCTGCAAATGAAGGGTTTAAGGGGGTTTGAAATCCAGCAGCTGTTTTAGCTGGTTACTCCTACCACCCTCCTCCTGGCTCTCTCCTGACGCCAATAAAGGTTGTTCTTGCCTCCCGCCGAGCAGCGTCCCCCCAACATGTTAGGGATTAAAAAGGAGCAACCTGGAGCCACAGAAGTTTCTGCAGTCTGAGGGAGACACAACTCGGATTAAATTAAGGGGGTGTTTTGGAAAACGATTGTGGAAAAGACAGCACTGTTCCAACAGTCTAGGCCAGAGTGGATGGGGCCTCAGATCACTGGCCCAATGATGGAAGTGTTCCAGTCTAGACAGTGAGGGGCAGCCTGGGAAGCTACACCCAGCTTGATACTGTTGGGGGAGGCAACTTGCAGTGTTGGGACAGACCCCAGGTTTTCCGCATGCAAAGCATGTGCACGGTCCATGGAGCCATCTTCGTGGTCTATATTCGCCCTTTTCAAACATTGCCTCTACCACAGATCTAGATACTTTACACATGTGAACCCTTCATTTTCCCAACGACCTCAAGAGCTAACCGTTGGGGGCCAGGAAATGTGACTCAAGGGATATAGTACATGTCGTGCATGTATGAGCACATGCCGATTTCCATTTCCGACACTGCACACCAGCTGACCACCCCTCCCCAGCACTGCTGGCCTGAGCACCCCAGAGTGTGGCTTCCAGAACTGTGGGGGTGTAGGGGGAGAAAAAAACTAAGTATCCTTATTCTCCTTTGCAGAGAAGTCAGTCTACCCGCCCAAGGTCACAGAGCAGGAAGTGGCAGAACAAATCCCTGCCATATTCTAGGCATTTTTCCAGGCATGGAGACAGAAATCAAGCCATGCTAGTCAACAGCAATTCACTCACTCAGTCCCCAAGCCTTAGCCAAAGAATGAGCTTGTCCTTTTTTGTTTGGGTCACACTCAGCAGTGCTGGAGGCTCTTTCTGAGGTATTTGTCTTAACATTAACCTCGGAGTCTCTTTTTATTTTGGGGGAGGCAATCATGTCTTGCTTAGGGCTTATTCTTGGCTCTGCACTCAGAGATCACTCGTGGCCAGGCTCTGCAAACCATAAGGGGTGGCAGGGATTAAACTGAACCCCAGTGGGCTGCATGCAAAGCAAACTCCCTACCCCCTGTACGATCTGTGCCGCCTGTAACTCAAGTATATCTTGATCTTTCCCTCCTCTGCCTGGAATGTCTTTCCTTCTGACTTCCGGCTTGTCAATTTCATTGTCAGACACCTCAGTGATGGCTTCAGTTTCTGCCTTCTCTGGGAAGCCTGCTCTGATATGCACTGACTGTCTGCCGCAGCCCTTGATTTGTCCTATCCCTTTGGCACCTAACATACGGATTAGCTTGCAGTTTTGGTTTTTGGTTTGGTTTGGTTTGGTTTGGTTTTGGAGGTGGTTTGCCTGTTGTTCCGGCATGCCAATTCCACTATAAACTTGTGGATGATTGTTTCATACTGTCTATGTGTGCCCAGTAGGTGTGCAAGAGACACCTCGTCTCATTCCACAGAGCAGGCTGGGAAAGTAGGATGTCTGTATGAGGGGGCAGGCACTGTGTGTATTGGCATGGTCCAAGTCAGCTGCCACTACCTCTCTACCAACTCCCACAACCCCATCCTCGAACAGCGTTTGCAGAATACTAAAAGCCACTCAGAAAGAGGGCCAAAGAACAGTACAGAGGTTAAGACACTTGTTCTGCAAGCGACAACCCGGGTTCAATCCTTGGCATTCCATAGGGTCCCCTGAGCCCAGAGCCAGGAGTAACCCCTGAGCATCACTAGGGGTTACAACCCCCAAGAAAAAGCCACTCTGACAGTCGATCAAGTCACCTAGAACAAAAAAGTCACCTCAGTGTATCTAACTAGCCAAAGTCATCTCCTGGTCTTTGTGAACTCTGAGGATGGTGCCCAGTACCCAAAGATAAGGAGTGGGTGGGGGTGAGGGTGCATATGCTTTCAGACTTTCATTTTCAAAATGAATCCTGACTGGCAAGCAGCTACTTCCGTTGCTCTGGAAACTCCCCTCCACAAGCCCAAATCTGTAAACACCAAACCGCACTCCGGCACACACACTTGAGAGACTAGGCCAACAGCTGCGGCAATATTTTGTTTAATCAAAATGCCAGCGTGGAGGAGGTAGGCTGGAAGGCGGCTTGGTCTGTTAATTTCCTCTCCAATAAGCAGGCAATCCCCTGCCCCCATTCTCATAAAAAATAGCTCTGGTTCCAGTTCCTAGACTGCCAAGTCACCCTGGTGATAAGCACCCCAGACCCCTAGCACACGTGCCCAGCTCTTAATGCTTAATTCAAATGCTGGCTGGGGCCACAGAGATAGGACAGAAGATAGGGCACTTGCTTTGCACATGGCCTACCTGGGTTCAATTCCCAGTATCCCATAGGGTGCCCTTAGCACCACCAGAAGTGATTACTGAGTGCAGAGCCAGGAGTAACCCCTGAACATTGCCGGGTGTGGCTCAAAAACCAAAAAACAAACAAAAAGTTCTTGGGCCATACCCAGTTGTGCTCAGGGGTTACTTCTGACTCTGCACTCAGGAATCGCTTCTGGCAGTGCACAGGAGACCCTGTGAAATGCCAGGGATCGAACTTTGG